CCAAGAGAGTTGAATTTGGCCATAACAACACCCAGGGCTCTATTAGCTGATTTACACACTTCTCTTACAGTTTTCTTATAGTCACAGTGCTCATTGAGCCACAAACCTAAATATTTATATTCTGAACAACAATCAGTATTCATATCACCACAAGTGAATCTGTGAAGTGATATAGGAGTAGAGATTGGTCTGCAGTGCATAATCTTTGATTTATCTTTATTTATGGTAAGTTTCCACTTTGTTGTCCAAGAGTAAAGGCAGTCTAGGAGTTGCTGTAGCTTGTTTTTGTCAGCAGCTATTAACACAATGTAGTCGGCGTATAGTAGTAGAGACACATTGATATGGTCGATGTCCACCCCACATTGTAGTTTGCTTATTTCACTGGCAAGATCATCTATATACATGTAGATAGAGAACAGTGTCGGGGATAAACAGCAACCTTGTTTGACTCCAATATTCACATCAAACCAGTCAGTCATTTCTGTATTAACTTTAACGCAGCATTTCACGTCTTGATATAGGGATTGTATTGCTGATAGAAACTGTCCTTGTATTTGAAAGCGAGTAGTTATCTTTAACCATAGTAACTGTCTTTGAACTGAGTCAAAGGCCTTCTTTATGTCGATAAAGCATAAGTATGTCGAGAGTTTTGATATCTATCTGATGTACATAATCTTGGTCAATGAATGTATATGGTCTTGACACGATCTACCCTTCCTAAATCCGTTTTGTAGATCATTAAGGAGGTCTTGTTGTTCTAGCCAATTGCTTAATCTAGTATTTAATATTTTAGCATATATCTTGTATGGAACTGAGAGTAGTGTTATCCCTCTGTAACTGGCTGGGATTCTTGGATCCCCTTCTCCTGACTTAGGGATGGGAGTTATGATTCCCTTTTGCCATGTTTTGGGAACTAGACCTGATCTAAACATAGTGATGAACAGTCCATGTAAAATATTTATACTGTTAGTGTTCTTTAACACTTCAACTTGGAGCTGGTCAATTCCTGGAGCTTTGTTTAATTTCATACTCTGGACAGCTTTGATAACCTCAAGCTTTGAGATAGGTTCGTTTAGTTCTTCACTGTTTACCGTTTCATTGGTGGGTTCAACCAATTGTTCATGTTCATTAGGATGTGTGTCAATTGGGGTGGTTACATAGTGTAACTGTGGGTTAAGTAATTTACTAAAGTCATTCTTCCATCTGTCCATGACAATGGTTTGATCTGAAGTAATATCGCCATGTTCATCTATGACTTCACTGGGGATGAGTATCTTTCTTTCATTTTGAATACCTAATTTGCCAATGTTTTTCCAAAAGATGTTTGGGCTACCAAGGGAATCACTCAGTTGCTTCTGTTTTTCTTTTTGGAAATTTCTTTTATACCTTCTATGAAGTTTATCAAAATATTTTCGGGCTTGGCAGAAATCATCTCTTAGAGTTTTATTTCTTGCACAGCTGTTCTTACTTTTTATCCATTTCCTTTCTTTCTCACAGACATCGTTCCAAGCATTTTGTAATTCGTCACCCCAGTAAGCTTTTTTTCTAGTCTTGGTTGTAGCTGGGTGATCAGAGACGTAGTGGAACAGGGTCCCCGGTCTTAGGAAGAGACCATATGTAACGTGTGCCTGAGTGTGGGCCAAGGCAGAAATTCCCAGTAGTCAAGCGGCTACCCATCCAACCACTCTCCGCCACCAACGTTGCTTTCCTTCGTCTGATGTTGGCCTGTACATAGTCAAGCAGGTTATTAATGTGACAGCTGTCGCATTTCGTTTGTAATCTTGTCTCCAAAACACCCTGGATAACAACTGACTCTTGGTTATACGATTTGTCCAAACACTACAAGCCTGGGCTCTATTCCTAGTTCTTCTCGTGACAGGTTGGTGACAACGGTTACCGTTAACAGTGAAACCTTTATATGACTATAGAATTTGGGATTCGCTAAGGTAGTGAGTTGACGATGTGACAGCACTGAACTCACAGTGTCCAAGACTTTTGACAAATCTATGCCTCTACTAACAAAAGGTTACTTGATACCAGAGTCTGTAGAGACTATACAGTACAGCCGCGGGTATTCAGGATCAGAACCGGTCTTTTTTTGTTGTACGAGTGGCGGTGGGGTAGCCTGATGGTTAAAGCGTCCCAAATCAAAACATTGATTACACAACAGTCTCATTTCCTGTTGACTGGGTTCCGTCCTATTGCGCAACTAAGTACAATAACCAGTCCAGAATTTTGCGACCAATTCATTTAACTAGATACATAAATATTAATCAGTATTATTTGATACATCTAAGCATTTGTATATTGCAACACTACGTTCCTTATAATCCTCGCAAACATGTCGTGCAGCGTGCTCTGTCGTACAGCGAGCACTGACAAACAGAAACCTGGAAATCGTGGAAATCTCAAAATGAGGCTCTGCCGCTAGAAAAGTTTGGCGGTCTGGTACGGACTTGATATTATATCAATCACATTGTGCGTTACAGAACTACACTGAATAAGCGCAAAAACACATAACAGGTGTAACCAGTGAGCCAGATGAATTGTGAATCATTTTACGACCTCATCAAACTGGTTCAATCTGTGACGTCTTAGTTAAGGTCATGCTGCCTAAACCTCGCCATAAAATATAGAAATACGATGTTATTCAAGTTTAAAATTAAAATTCATTTTACGTACCATTTTCTTATGAAACAAGGAATTGGAACTCAGTGTAACCATAGTTGTTTGTGATGTCTATTTTCACTTTCATATGAGAAAATTCGGATCGGCTGAAATGTAGGTCATTGTCTGAAAAGGTTAATGAGACTCATGTTTCGGTTTGCTTTCCGGGTTCGATTCCCCACATAGGCACAATGTTTGAAGCCCATTTCTGTCAGGCGCCGTGATATTGCTGGAATATTGCTAAACGCGGCGTAAAACTAAACTCACTCATTCTTGTTGTATGAAGGGACGACGTGGATCGGTGGACAGGCTCTTTGTATGGATACGCTGAACTTAGCACGAACACCTGGTGTCATCACTGTTTGATAATGATTCATTTACACATGTTTGTCATGGAAACAATCGCAGATATTTTTGTTTTGATTCCTTGTTTCAGAGATTAACCATAATCCTTAATACTATCAAAAGAAGCACTTTCTCGATATTCACAGAAAATTTTGAGACAAGCGGAATTAATACCATGTGGATTCTCAAAAACATGAGATGATGATGAGCTAAGATAACATAAATGAGATTAGTGGGATTACTATGATAATTAGTGAATGTAAGTCAATTAGGCAGAAGCCTACTACTAATCCCACTAATCTCATCTATGTTATCTTAGCTCATCATCATATTATTGTAGCTCACCATCTTATTGTAGCTCACCATGTAACTTTCTTTGATGTTTTGTTATCTCACCTTTGTTATTGTTATCTCATTATCATATGTACATGTATCTTGTCTATAAACTGGCGTACCCCATCATTCCCCCATATGCTTGACAACGGTATAAGAATCCATACCGACACATAGCCATTGTTAAAAATAAAAATAAAATACAAACTAATTAAAGAAGTTGATCATCCATAAAGTTGTGATCTCTGTACCACCAACTTCTAGAATTTCACTCAAACAAATCGATGTGGAAAGGGTTTTGTCGCTTCTATTGTATTTATCAGGTATATAAGAGTGGCGGCGGGCAATGTGCGGTTTGTGTATAGCTGGTTTATAGCTCATAACGGCTATAAACAACAAACTAATAGGTTATCGTCGGTGGATTATAAATCATGGAATACAAACAAGGAAAAGTTAAGTTAAAAGTGGCTATGACTTGACCCTTTCAGATTGGTTGTTTTTTTAGTTTTGTGAATTTTCTTACGTGTTTGCTTGCAATGTGCCGTGGCCGTGTGTAAATTGTTCATGAAGGAAGAGACGCGGCCCTAAAACCGGAAGTGGTTATCGCTTAATAACCACTGTAAACTTTGGTGAATAAACCAATCAAACAAGTCAAAACATTTGAGCAGTACTCCTTATTACCCCCCGACCGTTACTCCCGAGTTCAAGAGATGTAAATTCGGATTATTCTTGATAAATTAAAAGTATAAAGCACCCCACCTCTCCTTCAGACAAAGAAGGAAATCCCCTAATTTACGTTTTCGAGTTATTGGTTGAACAAAAATGTCCTTGGACGGAAGGATGAATTATATACATGACGTATGAACCATCAGTGTCATTGTATCCTTGGAATCGAACTCATCTTCAGTATGACGACAACTTTACCCACTGGACCTTGATGGTATGAATGGGACTTCATGACATGCGCACAACCACTGAAGTCAGAACTTCTGGAGCAGTAAGGACAAAATATTTCAGAACGAGACTCTTTTTCTTTCAAAGTATCTTTACAATGTTGGGAAATGTTGTTGTTGTTTTTTTTAACTGAAGCCAGGATGTAATCTTTGGTCCAGGAACGGATCTCTAATTCTCCAATTCTTCATATTTTCAAAAAGATGTAATAGAACTACCGCTTCCATGATAGGTAAACGTTTACGTTGTTTTAACGAGGGGCGTATGTCCAGAGGGGCTTTTGGTCGGGGAGATGTTGTCCTGAGGGGCATTTGGCCGGTACCCCTTTTACCAGATGACGGCAGTGCCATTACAGCCTGAAGGTGGAGATGAGTACACCTAGAAGTATCGTTGGCTGATACAGATTTGGGATCGGTTGGTTGTATCCGGTTCTTCGCTCTAGCCATGTTCGTTCTGTCAAAGGTTGTCAGTCACCATGGTGATGTGGTGTCATTACTGACGAATACTATTAGTTTTAGGACATCATTACTCGTAGGAGGCTGGGTATATAGGTAGAATGCCACAAACGTGATCATTTCGAATCCCGTTTTTGGTACATCTGGTGAATCCTATTTTGTATTTCCACCCAGTCACTCACGAAGTGGTGTGGAGTTCAACCAGTTAAACTCCAGGTCTGTGACTACAAATGACGGACGCGACAGATCGTATGATTGCAGATTTATTAACATATACACATTGTTATGTGGACTGATAATTAGCTGTGGGTGTTCATTGCGTCAATGGTGGCCTGAAAATACGCAGAACATTTGAACATTACGAAAAAGTCGCATACACTTATTAAACATACATGTCAGTTATATGGAATACAACGTCAGTATTAGCCGGAAGCACCCTTTAAATCCCGCACCAAACGGTGTGAGCGAGTTTGATTAGACGCCGTACTAACAGGGTGCTGGTGATGTCACAGCTTTATAAGAGGGATACGGCCATACTATTAACCGTCTACCACCTTGGTATCGAACACGACCATGCATGTGGTTTTGTGTGTGGTTTAACGCCGCTCTCAGCAATATTTCAGCGTTATGGCGGCCATGCATATGGTGTTGACAAACCATGAAACACTGTGGATCTTACGTTCGAACTGAAAACACAAAGAGAACATAGAAGGCAGGGTTACCTCATTAAAACATTAAAATATATATATCTCGATGGGTAACACAGATGTATTTACTTGTAAGTAAAGCTCCTAGAATATAGGATTGAAACATATTGATGTTTGCCATTAAGGCCGTTGAGAGGATTATACGTGCGTGTGTGTGTGTGCGTGTGCGTAGGTGCTTAGATGTAAAAGCTGCAAGTGAGCTAAGAATCAGTATTTTAAACTAGTGTTTTGAAAATGCATATGAGATAAAGATCAGATTTCACCTATGTCGAAGCTACATGTTAGCTAAAATGATGTCACAGATATGCCATACATGCAGGTGAGCTAAGAATGATGTCACAGATGTGTCATACATGCAGGTGAGCTATGAATGATGTTACAGATATGTCATACATGCAGGTGAGCTAAGAATGATGTTAGAGATATGCCATACATACAGGTGAGCTATGAATGATGTTACAGATACACCATACATACAGGTGAGCTATGAATGATGTTACAGATATGTCATACATGCAGGTGAGCTATGAATGATGTTACAGATATGCCATACATGCAGGTGAGCTATTAATGATGTTACAGATATGCCATACATGCAGGTGAGCTAAGAATGATGTCACAGATATGCCATACATGCAGGTGAGCTAAGAATGATGTCACAGATATGTCATACATGCAGGTGAGCTAAGAATGATGTCACAGATATGCCATACATGCAGGTGAGCTAAGAATGATGTCACAGATATGTCATACATACAGGTGAGCTAAGAATGATGTCACAGATATGTCATACATGCAGGTGAGCTAAGAATGATGTCACAGATACACCATACATGCAGGTGAGCTAAGAATGATGGTACAGTTATGTCATACATACAGGTGAGCTAAGAATGATGTTACAGATATGCCATACATACAGGTGAGCTAAGAATGATGGTACAGATATGCCATACATGCAGGTGAGCTATGAATGATGTTACAGACGTGTCTTACATGTAGGTGAGCTAAGAATGATGTCACAGATATGTCATACATACAGGTGAGCTATGAATGATGCCACAGATATGTCATGCATGCATGTGAGCTATGAATGATGTTACAGTTACACCATACATACAGGTGAGCTAACACTGGGGTATTGACCCTGATACCTACTCAGGGACTGAGGCCCAGGAGAGCCTGGATCTGCTGGAGCACCTGCTGCACCATCTGCAGCTTCTGCTGGGACGTGCTGGACTTGCTGAGGGCCTGCTGGAGCATGTTGTACACCTGGCTCACGCTGATGTTCGAGGAATCTGAACACAGAGTAATGAGTGAGTGAGTTGAGATTGACACGGCGTTGTGTACCACAATGTGTAAGTACAATGTGGGAGGAAAGCCAATGTGAGTGAGTCAGGTCTCAGACTTTCACCATGGCCACCCTTATGTCACTCACAAATAGAGATATGTCAGGGCCGTAGTTAACTTTTATTAATAGAGTGGGCCACCATCCACGTTAAAACAGTGTTATATCAATAGTTTGATGCACAAAAATTAATCGGGGGGTGGAGAGAGAGAGAGACAGAGAGAGAGACACACAGAGAGAGAGAGAGAGATCTCCCTACGGCCCTGTATATAACCAGGATTCCAACCAACTATCTGTTTCTGTGACAAGGGAAGCAACTCTACAAACGATTTGCCTAGGACGACTGACGTCACACATGCTGACTTGAGGCATGACAGCACATGTAGCATTAATTGGTATTTTTGTCAGAGGTTCTTGATTGTTAAGGGGGCGGTGGGATAGCCTAGTGGTTTATTGGTCGCTCCTTACAACGAAAACCCCGGTTTGATTGCCCACACGGATACAATATGTGAAGCCTATTGTTATTGTTGCCCGCCGTGATGTTGCTGGAATATTGCTTAGAGCAGAGGAAAACGGTTCAGTCAACACATGCACGAACCCGGGTCTATGGAGTTTGTTTGTTGTTTAACGCCGCAGTCAGCCATAGTCCAGCTATATGGCGGGGGTAAATAACCGAGTCTGGACCAGACAATCCAGTGAGGGCATCATTTTTTATGTGTTTCACGTAGCCACCAAATTCTGAACATGGGTCGGTCGGCCAGGGGAAAAAAACACTAGTTTTACGCCACACTCAGCAATATTCCAGCTATATGGCGGCGATCTGTAAATAATCGAGTCTGGACCAGACAACCAGTGATCAACACCATAAGCGTCTGGAGACGAAAGATAGACAATATGCCTAATCCGCGATATCATGCTGGAGATCACACAGAGCCTGTGATGCCCTGTAGCAGGTCAGCCAAGGTTTCTAGGTATAACAGTATAGGTAACCCACCTGATGGAGGAGAGGTTGTTGTTTGGTTGTAGGAAGGATCTGAAATATACCCAAATTTTAATGTATAATAGGAAAAAAGAACTATGGGTATGTTAAGTTGATTTTTTTTGTTACGCTATCACTGCATCTTCGTAACAAGACAAGAGTCGTGTCATTTACTTTCAGAAACATAAAAACATCAAAGAGAGATTAAGTGTTATTTTCAGTATGGTGACATGTTAATACACAGGTAAAATAATGTACCTGTACAATGATATGTAGCATAGCACATGTACAGGGCGGACGTTCTCCAACAATAAGATCCGTATGTACTAACACTGACAAAACAAGAAGCATGTACTTACACTGACAACGTGATCCAGTGTAGCCGGCGTTGCACACGCAGTAGTTGCTGTTGTTGCCACTGGGGTAACAGTAGCCGCCGTTCAAACAAGGACTGGAGGCACAAGAACTGTTTCCTGGAAAGGATATGGGGATATTGATTACATTCAGATTTCAGTTTGAACTTCACAGCTGAGGTCTGAGATGTTGATAGCATATATTCAGCCCACTTCAACAGAATGAAGAATATCCACCATGAGATGAGCGTGGTGTGTCAGGAAGCTAATCATCCCCAGATAAAATACATGGGTACTTGTAACACTATTCTGCACTAAATCGTCCATTGGAAATCAAGCATGAAATATTGTAGATCATGCATTTAGTTCTGTGGACAGGAATCCAAACCCCAGGGAAATGAAACTGGTGGTTTCAGCATTAAAGTACTATCGGAAATAGAAAAAACCTGTTTTTTCACATTTATATCTACAATTTATAAAGTTAATATGTGATAAATATCTGTTAAACTACGTTCGGCCTAACTACAGTCTCAGTGGTAGGGAGATAGGGAACTTTAAAAAAAAGGATTTTACTGTGGAGAAATGAGTGCAGAAATGAGCAATGTGGCTACCTACTTGCCATCTATTGTCTGATCTATTGTTTTCAGCAGCTATTCGTATTTTTTCAAAGTTTTGCCAAATTTTCCTAGTAAACAGGCTTTTCTGGATATCCTATTACGCATCCCACTGAACGTCCAATTAGGCCCATGTGGGTTATTTCGACATATGCTATTTGCAGTTGTGGAAATTGTAGGAATACAGAGTAACAGTTTAAAAACAGTTTTTCTATTTCCGAGAGAACTTTAGTTTGACGTTTTTGGTTCAAACAACCAAAGGATTGTGCTTGCTTTAGCCTTTGTATGTCAATAATCTCATCTATGTAATGTTCTCCCGAGTTGGTGTAACCATTAAAGCAAATAGTTATTATCCCTTACTTCCATTTGAAAACAAAATATCATGTAGTTTAGTTAATTTGGGGTTTCTGTGAACTTCAGTTTGTGTTACCTGTGCTGTTACCCGACGTGTTGCTGTTCATATCTGTGAATATAAATGAGTTTTAATTAAACTATGTTGTCACAGTTACTTACTTATGCGAGAGTGAGTGAGTGAGTATGGTTTTACGCCGCTTTTAGCATTATTCCAGCAATATCACGGCGGGCGACACCAGAAATGGGCTTCATATATATTACCCATATGGGGAATCGAACCCGGGCCTTCGGAATGACGGGCGAACACTTTAATCACTAAGCTACCCCGCTGCCCACACTTGCGTATGACAAACCATGACTAACATAAAGTACATTGAATACATTTTACATCAAAATGGCAATGGATAATATAGAAAGGGCACGTTATAGTCAAGGTTATGCAGAGTTCTTAACATTATTACAAAAACGATAAAGTTAACACTTCGCAACGTACAATAAGCCATTAACACCTTGGTACTGACGAAAACACCCGCATGTACTTACACTGACAACGTGATCCAGTGTAGCCGACGTTGCACGAGCAGTAGTAGCTGTTCCCACTGGGGTAACAGTAGCCGCCGTTCAAACAAGGACTGGAGGCACAAGAACTGTTTCCTGGAATTGATATGGGGATATTAACAGTTTACATTCAGACTTCAGACAGAACTTCAGGTCACTTAATCTGCGTTAAATCGTCCATATTGAAAACAATCAGTTTTTATTGTAGACCTTTACTCCACTCTGTCATCCATAGGCAGTTTAGTCAATTTAGTTTTCTGTGAGGTCTGAACTTCAGTTTGTGTTACCTGTGCTGTTGCCCGACGTGTTGCTGTTCATGTCTGTAAATATAATATGTTACATCAAACTTTGTTATCACAGTTAAGAATGACAAAAACATGACTAACATAGAATACATTGAATACATTTTAGTTCAAGGTGACACTGAATAGCATTCAGTGTTCTTAACATTATTACAAAAACGATAAAGTTGTCACTTTATATAGTACAGGAAGCCATTGACAACCTGGTACTGAACACATGCATGTACTTACACTGACAACGTGATCCAGTGTAGCCGACGTTGCACGAGCAGTAGTAGCTGTTCCCACTGGGGTAACAGTAGCCGCCGTTCAAACAAGGACTGGAGGCACAAGAACTGTTTCCTGGAATTGATATGGGGATATTAACAGTTTACATTCAGACTTCAGACAGAACTTCAGGTCACTTAATCTGCGTTAAATCGTCCATATTGAAAACAATCAGTTTTTATTGTAGACCTTTACTCCACTCTGTCATCCATAGGCAGTTTAGTCAATTTAGTTTTCTGTGAGGTCTGAACTTCAGTTTGTGTTACCTGTGCTGTTGCCCGACGTGTTGCTGTTCATGTCTGTAAATATAATATGTTACATCAAACTTTGTTATCACAGTTAAGAATGACAAAAACATGACTAACATAGAATACATTGAATACATTTTAGTTCAAGGTGACACTGAATAGCATTAAGTGTTCTTAACATTATTACAAAAACGATAAAGTTGTCACTTTATATAGTACAGGAAGCCATTGACAACCTGGTACTGAACACATGCATGTACTTACACTGACAACGTGATCCAGTGTAGCCGGCGTTGCACGAGCAGTAGTAGCTGTAGTTGCCACTGGGGTAACAGTAGCCACCGTTCAAACAAGGACTGGAGGCACAAGAACTGTTTCCTGGAATTGATATGGGGATATTAACAGTTTACATTCAGACTTCAGACAGAACTTCAGGTCACTAAATCTGCGTTAAATCGTCCATATTGAAAACAATCAGTTTTTATTGTAGACCTTTACTGTCATCCATAGGCAGTTTAGTCAATTTAGTTTTCTGTGAGGTCTGAACTTCAGTTTGTGTTACCTGTGCTGTTGCCCGACGTGTTGCTGTTCGTATCTGTAAATATAATATGTTACATCAAACTTTGTTATCACAGTTAAGAATGACAAAAACATGACTAACATAGAATACATTCAATACATTTTAGTTCAATGTGACACTGAATAGGATTTCAGTTTTCTTGACACTATTACAAAAATGATAAAGTTAACAATGCACAACGTACAAGAAGCCATTAACACCCTGCCTGGTTCTGACTAAAACACCCGCTTGTACTTACATTGACAACGTGATCCAGTGTAGCCGGCGTTGCACGAGCAGTAGTAGCTGTAATTGCCACTGGGGTAACAGTAGCCGCCGTTCAAACAAGGACTGGAGGCACAAGAATTGTTTCCTGGAATTAATATAGGAAGAGTGATTACATTCAGATTTCAGACTAAACTTCACAGGCAGTTTAGTAGATTTAGTTTTCTGTGAGGTCTGAGATGTTGAATATATATTCAGGCTACTTCAACAGAATGAAGAATATCCACCATGAGATGAACGTGGGGTGTATCATCCCCAGATAAAATAAATGGGTACTTGTAACTCTATTCTGCACTCAATCGTCCATTGGAAATCTAGCATTTAGTTCCGGGGACCTTTCTCTGTGCTGGAATCCAAACCCCGGGAAGGAAAAAGGGTGGTTTCCGCGTTAGTTTGGCGTCTTTGGTTTAAACAACTAAAGGATTGTGATTATTTTATTCTTTGTATGTCAATAATCTCATATATTTAATGTTCTCCAGAGTTGTTGAAACCTTTAAAGCAAACAGTTATTATCGCTTGGGTCCATTTGAAAACAAAATAGCATGTAATACAACACAAATGTCATGGATAAGAACTTCTTGATGTATTTTTCACAACGTTTCTGGGCTAGTTCTTGCACCTTCTTCGGGCGGATAAACAAATCAAGAAGTTGTTATGCATGAGTTTGTCTTGTATTATTACACCAACTTCTAAATGCTTTTGAAGAATTTCAAAATATCATGTAGTATTATTTGGGGTTTCAGTGAACTTCAGTTTGTGTTACCTGTGCTGTTGGGGAATCGACGTGTTGCTGTTCGTATCTGTAAATATAATATGTTACATCAAACTTTGTTATCACAGTTAAGAATGACAAAACATGACTAACATAGAATACATTCAATACATTTTAGTTCAATGTGACACTGAATAGGATTTCAGTTTTCTTTGACACTATTACAAAAATGATAAAGTTAACAATGCACAACGTACAAGAAGCCATTAACACCCTGCCTGGTTCTGACTAAAACACCCGCTTGTACTTACATTGACAACGTGATCCAGTGTAGCCGACGTTGCACGAGCAGTAGTAGCTGTAATTGCCACTGGGGTAACAGTAGCCGCCGTTCAAACAAGGACTGGAGGCACAAGAATTGTTTCCTGGAATTAATATAGGAAGAGTGATTACATTCAGATTTCAGACTAAACTTCACAGGCAGTTTAGTAGATTTAGTTTTCTGTGAGGTCTGAGATGTTGAATATATATTCAGGCTACTTCAACAGAATGAAGAATATCCACCATGAGATGAACGTGGGGTGTATCATCCCCAGATAAAATAAATGGGTACTTGTAACTCTATTCTGCACTCAATCGTCCATTGGAAATCTAGCATTTAGTTCCGGGGACCTTCTCTGTGCTGGAATCCAAACCCCGGGAAGGAAAAGGGTGGTTTCCGCGTTAGTTTGGCGTCTTTGGTTTAAACAACTAAAGGATTGTGATTATTTCATTCTTTGTATGTCAATAATCTCATATATTTAATGTTCTCCAGAGTTGTTGAAACCTTTAAAGCAAACAGTTATTATCGCTTGGGTCCATTTGAAAACAAAATAGCATGTAATACAACAAAAAATGTCATGGATAAGAACTTCTTGATGTATTTTTCACAACGTTTCTGGGCTAGTTCTTGCACCTTCTTCGGGCGGATAACAAATCAAGAAGTTGTTATCCATGAGATTTGTCTTGTATTATTACACCAACTTCTAAATGCTTTTGAAGAATTTCAAAATATCATGTAGTTTAGTTTATTTGGGGTTTCAGTGAACTTCAGTTTGTGTTACCTGTGCTGTTGCCCGACGTGTTGCTGTTCGTATCTGTAAATATAATATGTTACATCAAACTTTGTTATCACAGTTAAGAATGACAAAAACATGACTAACATAGAATACATTCAATACATTTTAGTTCAATGTGACACTGAATAGGATTTCAGTTTTCTTGACACTATTACAAAAATGATAAAGTTAACAATGCACAACGTACAAGAAGCCATTAACACCCTGCCTGGTTCTGACTAAAACACCCGCTTGTACTTACATTGACAACGTGATCCAGTGTAGCCGGCGTTGCACGAGCAGTAGTAGCTGTAATTGCCACTGGGGTAACAGTAGCCGCCGTTCAAACAAGGACTGGAGGCACAAGAATTGTTTCCTGGAATTAATATAGGAAGAGTGATTACATTCAGATTTCAGACTAAACTTCACAGGCAGTTTAGTAGATTTAGTTTTCTGTGAGGTCTGAGATGTTGAAATATATATTCAGGCTACTTCAACAGAATGAAGAATATCCACCATGAGATGAACGTGGGGTGTATCATCCCCAGATAAAATAAATGGGTACTTGTAACTCTATTCTGCACTCAATTGTCCATTGGAAATCTAGCATTTAGTTCCGGGACCTTCTCTGTGCTGGAATCCAAACCCCGAGAAGGAAAAGGGTGGTTTCCGCGTTAGTTTGGCGTCTTTGGTTTAAACAACTAAAGGATTGTGATTATTTCATTCTTTGTATGTCAATAATCTCATATATTTAATGTTCTCCAGAGTTGTTGAAACCTTTAAAGCAAACAGTTATTATCGCTTGGGTCCATTTGAAAACAAAATAGCATGTAATACAACACAAATGTCATGGATAAGAACTTCTTGATGTATTTTTCACAACGTTTCTGGGCTAGTTCTTGCACCTTCTTCGGGCGGATAACAAATCAAGAAGTTGTTATCCATGAGATTTGTCTTGTATTATTACACCAACTTCTAAATGCTTTTGAAGAATTTCAAAATATCATGTAGTTTAGTTTATTTGGGGTTTCAGTGAACTTCAGTTTGTGTTACCTGTGCTGTTGCCCGACGTGTTGCTGTTCGTATCTGTAAATATAATATGTTACATCAAACTTTGTTATCACAGTTAAGAATGACAAAAACATGACTAACATAGAATACATTCAATACATTTTAGTTCAATGTGACACTGAATAGGATTTCAGTTTTCTTGACACTATTACAAAAATGATAAAGTTAACAATGCACAACGTACAAGAAGCCATTAACACCCTGCCTGGTTCTGACTAAAACACCCGCTTGTACTTACATTGACAACGTGATCCAGTGTAGCCGGCGTTGCACGAGCAGTAGTAGCTGTAATTGCCACTGGGGTAACAGTAGCCGCCGTTCAAACAAGGACTGGAGGCGCAAGAATTGTTTCCTGGAAAGGATATGGGGATATTGATAGCTTTTATTCATCCCACTTCCAGTCCTTTAACCTTGTCAATTGTATATACTCACTATGCAGCTATGTGTATATTCTCCATCTTACAACTCTTTGTATCACTTGCTTGATAACGGTATTAGTACCTCTACGGTAACATTGTAATAAAGAAGTTGACTGTACATAGAACCTGGTTTTCCTTCACTTCAACAGCACCTAGAATACTCTGTGATGGCATGAACATTAGGTGTTGCAGAGATAACCTACCCTAGTTCAACAGTAGGGAAATCCGGGTGGAGTACAGGGTATGTATCCTGCACTGCACCATCCATCGTCAAACAAGTTCTGGTTATTGTAGACCTATTCTGCATTAGATCATCTAAGGGGAGATAAGCACTGCGTGTTGTAGGCCTGCATCAGACCACCCGTGGGGAGACATGCACTGAGAACTGAGGACCAACTGTACGTTGTGTCGTCCTTGTGGAATGAAGTATGAGGTAGAACAACCTTTTCTCCACTTTATTCTCCACAGAGAAACACGCATACTGATGTTGTGGATACATCTACACAGGACACCAAGCAAGACATACTTTGACTATTTCCTCACTGTATCATAATTAGGAGAACAAACAGGGTCTATGTTTGACCTTCACTACACTTGTGGGCCCATTCTTCACTAAATTCTCCCCGGAGAGCGGAAGGTCGCGGGTTCGATCCCCGACCGCGTCATACCAAAAGACGTTAAAATATGGTGCTTGTTGGTCCCTGCCTGGCGCTCGGCATTAATGGGTACAACAAGGACTGGTCGGCTCGGAGTCAGTATAATGTGTCTGAGGGGGTTATTCATGCTTCACTGCGGCATGGTATCTCAGTGGGCTAGCACTATAAAACCAGCTTAAGTGTGGGCTAGTACAAGCAGCCGCACCTACACATACACACGCATGCACGTCGTCATATGAGCGAAATATTCTTAAGCACGACGTTAAACTCAATTTCACCTCACCTCACTAAATTCTCCACTGGAAAACATATTCACATTAGATCATACCACACTATATCATTCACAGGCAGTTTAGTCAATTTATATTTCTTTAAAGTCTGAACTTCAGTTTGTGTTACCTGTGCTGTTGCTCGATGTGTTGCTGTTCATGTCTGTGAATATAAATGAGTTTTATCAATCTTGAATATCACAGTTACATATGACATAAAGTAAGATATATTCACTATATTCTACATCCAATTGCAGTGTGGCGGTGGGGTAGTGGTTAAAGCGTTCGCTCGTCACGCCGAAGACCCGGGTTCGATTCCCCACATGGGTACAATGTGTGAAACTCATTTCTGGTGTCCGTGATATTGCTGGAATATTGCTAAAAGCTGCGTAAAACTATACTCACTCACTCACTCACTCCAATTGCAGTGAAATTTATAGAAAGAACATCTGAAGTGATAACACAACTGAAGGTCACTTAGATTACGCAATGTACTCAACATCATTCCAACCACGAAACGTTAACACTTCACATCGTACAAGAAGCCATTAACATCCTGGTACTGAACACCCGCATGTACTTACACTGACAACGTGATCCAGTGTAGCCGACGTTGCACATGCAGTTGTAGCTGTAGTTGCCACTGGAGTAACAGTAGCCGCCGTTCAAACAAGGACTGGAGGCACACGAACTGTTTCCTGGAATTGATGTGGGATATTGACAGCTTTTATTTAGCCCACTTCAACAGAATGTAGAATACCTTTGAAAGGACAAGCATGGGATACTATGGAGCTAATCATCCCCAGATTAACTGTAGAGTAAAAAGAATGAGGTTACTGTTGCCCTTTTCTGCACTAGACATATCCATGGCGAGAAAAGCATTGAGTACTGAGCACCAAGTTTACGCTTAGAAAGAAGCTATGTCGTCTTTGCTTTTTACGCCGCATTCAGCAATATTCCAGCTATATGGCGGCGTCTTTATGGAAAGACACTTGGAATAGACAGAACCTATTCTCCACTAGAACACCCACAGAGAAGCAAGTATAGTGATAATGTGGACCTATTCTCCACTAGAACAGGGAAACAAGTATGGTGATGATGTGAACCTATTCTCCACTTCAACATCCCCAGGGAACCACGCAACACCTACTTTGGGTCTTTCCTCAAACAGGGGCTATGCTTGACCTAGGCTGCACTTGCTCATCGAAAGGAAAATAAGCCTAATTATACTGTGCACCTATTCTGCGCTATATCACCCATGGGGACACCAGCAGATTGCTCTGAAGAAGGTATCTGTGTCGGGATCCAAACCTAGGGAAATGACACGTGTGTTTTCTTTGAGGATTTCACCGTGATATAGACGTCTTGGATTTGAAAAAGTAATGGATTGTGTTTACTTTAGCCTTTGTATGTGTCAGTAAACTCATATATGATATGAAAGTTTCTCCTGTGTTGGTGAAGATTTTAAAGCAGATGTAAAGGGATTAAGGATGGGTTTTTGTTATCGCTTCGTTCCATTGGGAAAAAAACAACAGTTTAGTCAATAGTGCAGGCCTTGTCTTCGCTATATCATCCATTGGCAGTTTAGTCAATTCAGTTTTCTGAGAAGTCTGAACTTCAGTTTGTGTTACCTGTGCTGTTGCCCGACGTGTTGCTGTTCATGTCTGTGAACACAAATGAGTTTTATCAATCTTTACTACCACAGTTATCAGCCTATCATGAAGTGCAGTAAATGCATTATAGTTCAAAGCGACAATGAATACTATAAAAAGGACACCTATTCGTGATAATACCACTGTAGATCACTTCAGGTTATGCTCAAGGTTAAGCAGTGTTCACATCATTATTACGAGTGAGTGAGTGAGTGAGTATGGTTTTACGCCGCTTTTAGCAATATTGCAGCAATATCACGGCGGGGGACACCAGAAATGTGCTTCACACATGTGGGGAATCGAACACGGGTCTTCGGCGTGACGAGCAATCACTTTAACCACTAGGCTACCCGACCGCTCCTCATTATTACGAAAGCGACAAAGTTAACAATGTACATTGTAAGGGAAGTCATTGACATCGCGGTACTTACATTGACAACGTGATCCAGTGTAGCCGGCGTTACAAATGCAGTAGTAGCTGTTGTTGGAACTGGGGTAACAGTAGCCGCCGTTCAAACAAGGACTGGAGGCACAAGAACTGTTTCCTGGCAGTGATAACGGGATATTGATAGCTTTTATTCAACAGCATACAGAATGTTCCACGATAGGATGAGCATGGAGTATCACAGAGCTATCCTACCCTCTAGCTCAACAGTAGGGAAATATGAGTGCAGTACTAGGCACCTATTCACCACTGAACCATCCATCGTCAAAGAAACAGCGGTTATTGTAGTTCTGGGTACACCTATTCACCACTGAACCATCCATCGTCAAAGAAACAAACTATTGTAGTTCAGCAGTTCTGTTGTACACTAGATCATGCAAGGGGAGACAAGCACTGAGTGGTGTAGATCCCACCTGCACCAGACCGGCCAAGGGGAGGCAAGCATGTAGTTAGACTAACAACTAGTCTCTGAAATGAACATATTTTACTGAAAAAAGTTCATAGTAAAAAATATAAAATATAATGAAAAGGAGCCAGGCGTTGAGTACACTATAGTTCAACTGACTGACTGACTGAGTTTGGTTTTACGCCGCTTTTAGCAATATTCCAGCAACATCACGGCGGGGGATTTAGCAATATTACGGCGGGGGACACCAGAGGTGGGACTATAGTTCAAAGTGACAATGAATGGTATCGTACTACTGAAGGTGATGCGATGTCCTTGGCATTATTCCAAAACGAGAAAGTTAAGACTAAAGGTTGTGCATGCAAGGTCCGTTTCTTGAATCCTGAATAAATCTGTGCAACATTATTTGTATTAGAAAATATTATCACAGATTATTGATATTTTGTTTGCTTCTATTTACCTTGACTGGCAAACAAATGGTCGAGAGTAAGAAGACATATTCACGTCATCGGTGACACAATAACTCCTGGTCACACATCAGCCAAATCCGTGTGGACTCGGGGGAGGTTAAGTGTTGTCTTGGCTGGTTGTGTGTCATTGTTCACCAGGGGGACGTTAATCATGTTATCAACCACTCGTTCTACTGACCCAGAATGCATTATTTACAGGATGGGGAGATACAGGAGGAGGTTAAGTGTTGTCTTGGCTGGTTGTGTGTCATTGTTCACCAGGGGCACGTTAATCATGTTATCAACCACTCGTTCTACTGACCCAGAATGCATTATTTACAGGATAGGGAGATACAGCAGGAATCTTTAGGACGAGATAACACTTAATACATAACATCATGCCAGAGAATAAACCACTTTCGATTATCAGCCCAAACGGTAACCATGGAGAAAATGGCGAAATACAGGTGAAAATGTCAGAAGACGACAGGTGTCCGGGAAGGTAACACCTGCATATTGACATTCACACATTTGTTTTATAAAAAGAAAAATATTTAGTTTGAACGTTATTTAGTAGTGATACATTTAAAGGTGATAATTTTTGGCTGTCAATTTCTTATATTAGGAACACGACGTTTCGGGGTGTGTACTGTCACTCCTTCATCAACTGTTAAAAAAAGTTAACATCGATAAATTATCACTTTTTAAAGAGATAATTGTTTTTTGTGGGGCTTTTTTCCGAATCGAACCAGGGAACACAAATGTTCCAATGTCTTTGTATTACCTGTACTGTTGCTTGGAATTGTGTTGTTCTCGGGCTCCGGTTGGACGATGACTATAAATAAATGAAATAAAATAACTAGAAATGGAACGTGGTAGGAATCTACACTTGTAACAAGAAATCAGCATGAGTGAGTTTAATTTTACGCCGCTTTTAGCAATATTCCAGCAATATCACGGCGGGTGACACCAGATATCGGCTTTACACATTGTGCCCATGTGGAGAATCGAACCCGGGTCGAGTGAATGCTTTAACCACTAGGCTACCCCATCGCCTCCAAGAGATCAGAGGGGCCGGGTGGTCATGCTGGGTGACTTGACATGTGTTTGTATCCTCGTGGACCACATCTGCTGTTGCCTACTGGATTGTCTCGTCCAGCCTCAATTAAACACAGAACGCCGCCAGAGCGATCAAAGTACAGCGCTGAACAACAAACAGAGCATGGTTCAAGTCAGCCGCCGCAGCGGAAGAGTGAGTGAGTGAGTGAGTATGGTTTTACGCCGCTTTTAGCAATATTCCAGCAATATCATGTACATCAGAAATGAGTTTCACGCGTTGTACCCATGTGGGGAATCGAACCCGGGTCTTCGGCGTGACGAATGAACGCTTTAACCACTAGGCTACCCCACCTCCCCAGCAGCTGAAGAATGTGTTACGTGTATTACTAAAGTGCGGCTGTTGGGATGGTGTAGACCAGTGATTCAGGTGTTTGCCCCTCGTGCCTGGGATCTAGTTCGACTCACAATATGTTCAGCAGACTAATATTGAATCCCTGACGTGTTGTTCCTGGAATATAAGCAATGTAAAACTCTCACTCACTGACTCACTCCCTCCCTCACTCACTCATAACGTCATACCAGCACTACTTCTATCAGCACCATACCCGTCTTCCTGGGTTTCGGGAACGTCTAAGACGTTGAACCCATGCATCGCTTCATTCTCTGTATCCTCGCGGGCCTCTTTTCGGTACACCTACACTAAAGTACTGGCGGAGACCAAAAAAAAAACTACTTTTTTTTCATATTTATATCTACAATTTAGGTAGTTAATATATGAAAGTGTGAAATATCTGTTAAACTAAATTCGGCCTAACTACAGTATCAGCGGTAGGGATATAGGAAACGTAAAAGATGGACTTTACTGAGGAGAGATTAGTGCAGAAATGAGCAATGCGGTTTTTTTCTAAGTCGAATGCGACTTATTTAGAACAGACCATGACTTTATGCAGATTAATGTGCGATGATATTGTATTACAAATGACACTTTTTAAATGCCCATTTTGAAATTAGACTTAGCTTCATTATAAACGATAGCTGACATACAAAATGATAACTTTTAATGCTGAAATTATTAAGGATGTAGCTGCCATGGAGTCTAACTATTACTATAAAAAGAAACAGGTAGGAGGGGTCGTCTCAAAAGCAAAACCACGACGGGTGTTGCAGACGTTGGCTGGGGTCGGGCTGGGGGATAGAGATATCAGCTATAAAAACTATAAGATAAGATAATCAATGGAGACATATTCGATACACATGAAAAAGCATAAAATATGTTTGAGATGATCCCTTGTGCCTGTGCGCAGCACGTGCATTTCATGCCAAGTGAGTCCAGGGTCCGTCGTCATACCTGGCTGAGCGACCTAATTGCCATCTATAGTCTGATCTATTGTTTTAAGCAGCTACTGGTATTTTTTTTAAGTTTTGACCGATTTTACGAGTAAACATGTTTTTCTGGATATCCTATTACGCATCCCACTGAACGCCCAGTTAGGCCGATGTGGGTTATTTCGACATATGCTGTTTGCAGTTGTGTAAATTGTAGGGATACAGAGAAACAGCCTAAAAACAGGTTTTTTTTCTATTTCCGACAGTTCTTTTAACCACTGTATCCTACCCTTCGCTTTCGCAGCATCAAATTACCCGCCCTTGATTTTCATTTACATTTTATTGACCAATCAACGTCGAAATAAGAAACAGCACATTGGTAGTGGAGAAATCCTTTCCATCCAAAGATTTCTTTTCTTGCGGGTCAGTCAGCTTTTCAGTGCTTTATTTCCTAAACACTACCATAATGAACTCTGCCGGTACCGTTAACTCAACATTCGGGCTGTTTTGTAACTCGCGTTCTCTTATTCGTTAATCTGGGTAGCGTAGCAAATCAAACTGGCCAACGACATTTGAGCTGGAAGGGTGGGTGTCACGCGCGGCGTTAGCAACAGCATCTATTGCATAGTTTGGGAACAAGCCGAACACAAGTCGTGCATCTTTCGTGAAGACTCCCGTGAAACCGAACAGATGCCTCACACAATATACTTACATTGGTCGAAAAAGGAGTATTTTAGACGCTTAGTGTAATGTTATGACCGTCATTTAGTTGGAATATTGCACAAACAACAAATATACAAATATATACAAACGTGGTGCCAGAGACATCATCGGAAATCCCAGGGCTACATTGCTTTTCTATTAAGAAAACTGCTTTGGGCTCATTCAATACTACATCTTCGTTTCGGAAGAGACTTCACCGTCTCATTTTTAGTGACACAATTTCCCTACTGGTGGAACTAAGTATACAACAGCATGTTTTCTTCAAAACACAGCTGACCCGTGAAGATCCCGGTTAGAATATTGGCCTTCAGTAACCCATGCTTGTCGTAAGAGGCGACTAACGGGATCGGGTGGTCAGGCTCGCTGACTTAGTTGACACATGTCATCGGTTCCCAATTGCGAAGATCGATACTCATGCTGTTGATTACTGGATTGTCTGGTCCAGACTCGAATATTTACAGACCGCCGCCTTATAACTGGAATATTGCTGAGTGCGGCGTAAAACTCAACTCACTCACTCAAAACACAGCTGTGATGGCATGTGTGTGCGTGGTTTATATCCTAATGAATGGAGTTCCCTACATCACAGAAGATGGGTGCAGCTACTTACCATCACAGTTTACACCCATAAAACCTTCCATGCACGTGCAAGTGTAGTCGGTCCTGCCGACAGGGGTGCAGCTGGCGTTGTTGTAGCATGGCTGATTGGAACAGCCGTCTGGAATAAAGCCATGACGTCATATTACCATTGTTGTTGTTCTTCGGTATCGTTATAACTACCCGGTTTAGGTTTAGTACACAGAATGAATGGTTGTTTATGGCTCACCGGGAAGTTTCACCAAGCTGTACGTCAGTTCGAATCCGTTGGCGTTGATCATGAAGTCCGAGTAGAACTTGAGGGTAACCGACGTTTGCTGGTTATTCGCTGAAATATACAGAAACATGGAGTGAGTGTGTGTGTCAGTCAGTCAGTGAGTCAGTCAAACCGCTTCCAACAGTATTGGGGGCGGTGGGGTAGCCTAGTGGTTAAAGCGTTGGCTCGTCACGCCGAAGACCCGGGTTCGAATCCCCACATGGGTACAATGTGTGAAGCCCATTTCTGGTGTCCCCCGCCGTGATGTTGCTGGAATATTGCTAAAAGCGGCATAAAACCAAAACTCAGTCAGTCCAACAGTATTTCAGTTGCATCACTCCGGGGAAAGGAAAGCCTGAAGCAAAACACCTCAAAGACGTTTATCACCATCACAGTTACAACTGACACGAGAATCTTCTCCAACCCGGAACTCGGGGTGTCTTCAAGCGAATGTGTGAGTGAATGCGGAGATAATTATACTGTGTTGGAAAATCAGAGGTATATAACTAATTATAATTTCCTTATATACCGCTGATGTTCCAACACAGTACGTTTATCTCCATTCTACCATAACCGCGTTATTAAGATTTTATAAAAAATACATACTGTGCTGGAAAATGAGAATTATATAACGTGATTATATACCTCTGAATGATTTTGATTAACCAGTCACCATCCAGTATTTACTGAAGTCATGGTACATATGTTGTTTAAAGCCTCGCTCAGCGGTAACCAGAGACAGGAAGCATAAGCAACGATCCAGTCACGATGCCAACCAACCAGATGGGACCTACCTACCCAGACATGGGTGCTTGTGATATATTTCGAGCCAAAGTCCCCACCAAATGTGTTTTGTATGACCACGAGGCGTCTTACCTGTGTAGACCTTGTTGGAGTATGTGCCACACATCTTGCCTATCCCGCCGAAGTTGATGAGAAGATAATCCCAACTGCAGGAGCTCTGGTACTCTATGTTGAGAGACTTCACGTTGATATTCACCTGAACATTATTTAGAAACAATCAAGTCGCATTATAATACCAACGAGCCCTCGAGGTTCATAAGATCCAAGTCGCATCATAATACCAGACAGCCCGTAAAGATGTACGGAGGTTCCTAAGGGCGACATTACCACATAACAACAGCCAACATGTGAACGTGTACGGATGTTCATAAGATCGAAGTCGTATTATAATACCAGCCAACACTGAACGTGTACGGATGTTCATAAGATCGAAGTCACATTATAATACCAGCCAACGCTGAACGTGTACGAATGTTCATAAGATCGAAGTCGTATTATAATACCAGCCAACGCTGAACGTGTACGGATGTTCATAAGATCGAAGTCGTATTATAATACCAGCCAACCCTGAACGTGCACGGATGTTCATAAGATCGAAGTCGTATTACAATACCAGCCAACCCTGAAAGTGTACGGATGTTCATAAGATCGAAGTCGTATTACAATACCAGCCAACCCTGAACGTGCACGGATGTTCATAAGATCGAAGTCACATTATAATACCAGCCAACCCTGAAAGTGTACGGATGTTCATAAGATCGAAGTCGTATTAAATACCAGCCAACGCTTACGGAATACCAGCCATTACCCAGCCAACCCTGAACGTGCACGGATGTTCATAAGATCGAAGTCACATTATAATACCAGCCAACCCTGAACGTGTACGGATGTTCATAAGATCGAAGATCGCCAACGTGAACGTGTACGGATGTATAATACCAGCCAACGCTGAACGTGTACGGATGTTCATAAGATCGAAGTCGTATTATAATACCAGCCAACCCTGAACGTGCACGGATGTTCATAAGATCGAAGTCGTATTATAATACCAGCCAACCCTGAAAGTGTACGGATGTTCATAAGATCGAAGTCCAGCCATTATAATACCAATACCAACCCTGAACGTGTACGGATGTTCATAAGATCGAAGTCACATTATAATACCAGCCAACCCTGAACGTGCACGGATGTTCATAAGATCGAAGTCACATTATAATACCAGCCAACGCTGAACGTGCACGGATGTTCATAAGATCGAAGTCACATTATAATACCAGCCAACCCTGAACGTGTACGGATGTTCATAAGATCGAAGTCACATTATAATACCAGCCAACCCTGAACGTGCACGGATGTTCATAATTTTTAAAAAGTCGCATAGAAGGAAATGGGAAATAGTGACATATTGTGTTTGTTTTGGGGCCATTCCATGGTGGCAGAGAGATCTGTCCAGAAGAAATGCACGTTCTCTTCACGTTAGTCCTGTTTCCAAGGATCAAACGCATATTCATTTTACCGAACTCTCACAGCGAAACAGTCTGCTTAATTTCCAACGTATTCTGTCCTTTAAATAGTTTCTTTTCAATTAATTAACAAATTGTAGCCATTCCTTGATAACTGACTGTCTGCCTTTATGAAATGAGATATGACGCATGCTTCGAGATTTGTCACATGAAGTACTTGTGATTCAGGTGGCGGTACACGAGGTATTCGGAATTCAGCGGAATTCAGGGAGTAAGGGACTGGCACCACTTGTACCTTACAGGGTCTACACCGTTACCTTGTAGTAAGCCTGGGGGTCGGGGAACTGGATGGTGTAGGTCTGTTCAGTACTCAGGGGGTACTTTGAGGGGTAGTTAGGGCTCTTGATGGTGCCGGTCAGACCCGTCAGAATCTGATCCTTCAACTTGTTCGGAGCTGCAAGAGACGATAGCAGAGTTCTGTAAAGTATCAACAGTTGTACGAAGAATGATGACAATTTTTATGGGTGTACAACTTCTTTTATTGTGAAAGGCGACGTTTCGACATAGATTCTAATGACAACGACATTAGAATCTATGTCGAAACGCCGGCCTTTACAGGAGAAAAGAAGTTGTATATCCATAAAAATTGTCATCATGCTTCATCAACTCAACTTCTAAAATGCCCATCAAAGAAGTCAACAGTTGTACGTTTCTATTCTTAGTTGATATTTTCGTGAATCTACCAAATACAGTCCCTGCATGGTCTTCCAGCAGCAGGGTCCCATGCCGGCATCCAATGTGCAAATCACCATCGGCTGTTCCCTAACCTCGAATCTATGAAGGCAGCCCTTTGTAAGGGATGCAGCGAACGGCGTTTGTCTTGACGTTAGCACATCTGTTTAGTTTCTACTGCGAAATACCATAAATTGTGATTTCTGAATGAAATTAATCTTTTACCTTGACGTCTTTGCCGGAGATGTGCATCCTGTAAAGAAAAGAAATCGACGTTTACTACTACTACTTTACTACTACTACTACTACTACTACTACTACTACTACTACTACTACTACTACTACTACTGCAACAACAACTACTACTACTGCTACTACTAAAGCTGCAACTGCTGATGTTGCAACTACCACTGCAAGTAATATTAAACTATTTCATTAAACGTCTGACGCTGCAACTACTGCTACTGTAACTACTTCCCCTCTAACAACGTCTACGGCTGCAACTGTCATTTCGTCAGTCCTAGTTATTCCAAAACTGGTTATTCCTGTACTACAATTCTACAATACCACCACTATTACTAATTCTACTATAACTACTACTACGACGACAACGACTACCGCTTCTGCTGCTGCTAGTACTGCTAATGCAACTGAAACCACTACTACAACTACAGCTGCTGGTGCAACTACACCTACCACTGCGTCTCTACTACGTTCCAATGAAGACAGACTGCCTTCGTGGTGTAGTGGTTAGAGCGTCCGCCCGGAGAGCGGAAGGTCGCGGGTTCGATCCCCGACTGCGTCATACCAAAAGACGTTAAAATATGGTACTTGTTGGTCCCGGCATTAATGGGTACAAGGACTGGTCGGCTCGGAGTCAGTATGATATGTTTGAGTGGGGTATTCATGCTTCACTGCGGCATGGTATCTCAGTGGGCTGGCACTATAAAACCAGCTGCACATACACATACACATGCATGCACGTCGTCATATGAGCGAAATATTCTCAAGCACGACGTTAAACCCAATTTCACCTCACCTCCAATGAAGACACATGGCCCAGCACAAGTCAGAGTTAAATACAAGAGAGAGGATACCTCAGTGCTCCGGGCGGCGGCGAGACCAAGACAGCATAGAACCAGGACACCCAATGAAAGCGTCGTCATTTTGAAAGAGACTGGCGTGATAATACTCCAAGTTTACCAGTGCTTATATACTGTTCCCTGTTTACACTGCTGCCATGCCGCTGTCAGTACCGTCAACACGCGCATCAGTTACACCCACGTGTCCCAAGTCTATGTACACGGTGATATCGGCTCAGTGGCTGTTTGGATGATACAGGGAACGCTGCGATAGCTCACCTGGACAGGTGATGAAAGTGATATTGCCGATGCGCGCTTCCATTCTTGTTACCTGTCAGGAATAACAACGAAACGACATGCGCACTGCACCTGTCGATGACTTTTCGCATGCAATGTGTAATTAGAACAGGGTCAATGATGTTTTAAAACACCTAATGTATTGATGCCTTTCTGTATGATAGTATAATTGTAAATATTGCTATATAGGGTTTATCGTGTTTCAGATTGGAATGTCTATAGCGGAGAATGATAGAGGGAGAAAGACAGAGAGGTCACCACAGGAGAGACAAGGAAAGAGAGAACGTGTGGTCAGAAGGAGAGGGAAAAGAGATAGGGTGTGGATAGGACAGAGAGACAAAGAGAGAAAGAGGACGGGAGGAGAGAAAGAGAGAGAGAGTGTGTGTGTGGACGGTCTGAGAGAAAAAGAGAGAGACTATGTGGACGGTCTGAGAGAAAGAGATAGGGTGTAGACGGGGGAGAGAGAAAGGGAGAGAGGGTGTGGACGGGGGAGAGAGAGTGTGTGGACGGGGGAGAGAGAGAGTGTGTGTGGACGGGGAGGGGGGAGTATGGACGGGGCAGAGAGAAACTGGACGGGGCAGAGAGAGTGTGTGTGGACGGGGAGAGAGAGTATGGACGGGGGCACAGAGAGAGAGAGACGGGGGGAGAGAGTGGCGTGGAGGAGAGAGCGGATGGGGACAGAGAGAGAGAGAGCGGAGTAGGGAGAGAGAGTATGGACGGGGCACAGAGAGAGAGAGAGAGAGAGAGAGTGACGGGGGAGAGAGAGTGGACGGGGGCAGAGAGAGAGAGAGCGGACGTAAGGGGAGTGGAAAGAGAGTATGGACGGGGGCACAGAGAGAGAGAGAGGGCCGGGGAGAGAGTATGGACGGGGAGAGAGAGAGAGGAGAGAGAGGCGGGGGGAGAGAGAGAGAGAGAGGACGAGGGGAGAGAGAAAGAGTGGCGGGGGAGGAGTATGGACGGGGCACAGAGAGAGTGGACGGGGAGAGGAGAGTGTGTGACGGGGGGAGAAAGAGGACGGGGGACAGAGAGAGGAGAGAGAGTGGACGGGGGAGAGAGAGTATGGACGGGAGGCACAGAGAGAGAGTGGACGGGGAGGGGAGAGAGGTGGACGGGGGCGGACGGAGGAGGACGTAAGGGCAGGAGAGAGACGGGGCACAGAGAGAGAGAGAGAGTGGAGAGAGAGTGAGAGAGTGGACGGGGGAAAGAGAGAGAAGTGGACGGGGTGGAGAGAGAGAGGACGGATGGAGAGTACAGAGGAGAGAAAGGAGAGTGGAGGACGAGAGAGAGATGGACAGAGAGAGTGGAGAGAGAGAGAATGGACGGAGAGAGAGGATGGACAGAGAGAGAGAGGAGAGGGATGGAGGAGAGAGGTGGAAAGAGAGAGAGTGGATGGGATGGAGAGAGAGAGAGAGAGTAGAGGATGGAAAGAGAGAGGAGGAGGATGGAGAGAGAGATGGGGAGGATGGATGGAGTGGATGGATGGAGAGAGTGGATGGACGACGAGGAGGAGGGGCAGGAGTCGGTGGATGGAAGAGGAGGAAAGGAGTGGATGGAGAAAGAGAGGAAAGGATGAATGGAGGAGAGAGAGGGATGGACGATGGAGAGGGGATGAGAGGAGAGAGGAGGGGATGGAGGGGAGGAAAGAGGAAAGAGGAGGAGTGGAGGAGGAGAGAAGAGAGGGTGGATGGAGGGAGGAGAGAGAGGAGGAGAGTGGAGGAGAGGAGAGAGAGAGGAGGACGGATGGAGGAAAGAGAGGATGGAGGGGGATGGAGAGAGGAGTGAGGAGAGTGGACGGATGGAGAGAAAGAGAGGAAGGATGGAGGAGAGAGTGGATGGAGGATAGAGGACGATGGAGGGAGGAGGAGAGATGGATGGAGTGGATGGAGGAGGAGAGAGGTGGGATGGAGGAGATGGATGGAGGGAGGAAAGAGAGATGGACGGAAGAGAGGAGGAGGAGAGAGAGGAGGGATGGAGGAGAGGAAAGAGTGGATGGATGGGAGGAAAGGAATGGAGGAGATGGAGAGAGGAGGAGAGAGGAGGATGGAAGGAGGGAGGAGGAGGGAGGAAAGAGGGATGGAGGGAGGGAGGAGAGAGAGAGAGGTGGATGGAGGAGGAGGAGGATGGAGGAGAGATGGAGTGGATGGAGGAGAGGATGGAGGAGGAAGGAGGACGGAGGGGTGGAGGGATGGATGGATGGAGGAGGAAAGAGTGGATGGAGGATGGAGGAAGGAGAGGAGGACGGAAAGTGGAGGAGAGGAGAGGAAGGATGGAGGAAAGAGAGGATGGAGGAGGAGGAAAGAGGATGGATGGAGGAGAGAAAGAGATGGATGGAGAGAGAGGAAAGAGAGATGGAGGAAAAGAGGAGAGGAAAGAGAGAGAGGGATGGAGGGATGGATGGAGGAGGATGGATGGAGGAGGATGGAGGAGGAAAGAGGGAGTGGAGGAGGAGAGGACAGAGGTGGATGGAGGAGGAGTGGACGGAGGAGGGAAAGAGAGTGGAGGAGGAGAGAAGGACGGAAGAGGAGGATGGAAATGGAGGAGGAAGATGGATGGAGGAGGATGGAGGGAGGGATGGATGGAGAGGAAGGAGGGATGGAGGAGGAGTGGAGGATGGATGGAGGAAGGATGGTGGATGGAAGGAAAGGAAGGAGGAATGAATAATGGAATGGAATAGGATGGAATGGCCACAAAGGAAGACAGGAATGGATCGAAGGACACAAAGAGTCCAAAGTGGATGGAGAAGAATGGAATGGAATAAACATGGAAAGCCAAAGAAGGACAGAATGAAGAGGAATGGACACAACACAAAGAAATGAAATGGTCATTGGCAGGTGGAATGGATCAATGGAGCTGGAGGAAGGAAATGGAATTGGGAGTAGGTTGGGGAATGGATTATGAAATAATGGAAAGCATCTAAATTCACCAAAATATACATTATTACAAAATATCTATGCATCAAATATATTATATGACGTTTGCTGTGTGAACTCAATACTCCAGTCGGCAAATCAAACTCATCCCACTCTTATTCATAAAATAATTGAATAATAATCCAGAATTAATAACATGCACCCGTCTTCTGAATGGCCCACTAAAGTTGAGTCCGGGGGATGGAATCATGGGCCTACATTTTCCCACACCTAGAATGAATGCGACGTATACATTTGATCACACAACTGTGTGATAACGTCTTTAAACAAAATAGAGGATTTTACTATCACAGACCACTAAGGTGAGCCTAAAGGCCGGAAGGGGACTCATCCAAAAGGGGTGGAGCTTAAGGGTTCAAATTAACTGTCAAAATCGATTATGACGTCACAGAGAACAAAATCAACAAGTACCGCTAGGCAATTGTGTGATGACGTCATAAAAAACAAAATGTACAACAAGTACCGCTAGGCAAATACCCGGAGTGAGATGAGTATCTGCCCAGACTTTCAGGACCTGACCGTGTGGGGCAGGTTTAGGAGTTAGAAGACCGTAACGTGCTGCGTCAGAAGAATCGACAACATCGTGTTCAACGGTGCAAGAGTGTTCAGGCTTGGGCCATGGTAAAGCGGCGTCAAATCTGGTCCAGCGATGAAACGAGATTTCTGTTGGAACGACGCGATGGAAGAATGCGGGTGTACAGACGCCGTCATGAACGTTTTGCCGACGCCTGCCTCCCCAGGCGGACAGATTCGGCAGGGGAGACGTGATGATGTTGGCGGCCATGACTATATGGCGGCGGTCTGTAAATAGTCAGTGAGTGAGTATGGTTTTACGGCGTATCTTTTGCAATATTCCAGAAATATCACAGCGGGGGACACCAGAAACGGGCTTCACACATTGCACCCATGCGGGGAATCGAACCCGGGTCTTCGACGTGACGAGCGAACGCTTTAACCACTAGGCCACCCCACCGTAAATAATCGAGTCTGGACCAGAAAATCCAGTGATGAGCATGAGCATGAGCATCGATCTGCGCAACTGGGAACCTATGACAAATGTCAACCAAGTCAGCGAGTCTGACCACCCGATCCCGTGAGTCGTGTACAATGAAGGATCACTAGAGAATGACTAGTGAACCACTACCGCAGCAGAACGATGATGTCGACCAGCTACCGAAAACGTTTTAATTAGAAGCAAGCCCTAGTCTGCACGTGCTGAGGGCATGCTTTCCTCATAAAACTGCTAATTGGTGTCAGAAAACAATTAATCGTTTTTACAGAAAGCAGAATAAATCCCGACTTTTCAGCAAAAAAACGATAATGAAATTCATGGTTACCGACAAAAACTCTCTTGGGGCACATCTTCACCATTCTAACTACACCGCGAGATAAGATTTGTCAGTCGCCATTCAATCCTACATCAATTTCATTACGCAGGCCAGTTGGGGTTATTACCCCAGATTCCGAATCAAACCTGTTTCCCAGTTTTTGACGTCCGACAGAGTTTAAATCTTCAAGCTAAATATAAACAAAAACGCCGAAATATAACGTGCGGCTATGATATGTGATTAAAGCGTTCGCTCGTCACGCCGAAGACCCGGGTTCGATTCTCCAGATGGACACAATGTGCAAAGCCCATTTCTGGTGTCCCCCGCCGTGATTTTGCTGGAATAGTACTTAAAGCAGCGTAAAACTAGACTCACTCACTCATTGATAAGGGCCCTGTTATACTTTGTGTTGTAGTGAGTGAGTGAGTGAATCACGGCGGGGGACACCAGAAATGGGGACTTCACCCATTGTGCCCCTGTGGGAAATAGAACCCAGGTCTTAGGCGTGACGAGCGAACGCTTTAACCACTAGACT